AAAGTGGCTGAAATGAAACATTACCAGAAAAGCAAGGGTGAAGTTACTGAAGTACCAAAGGCCTGCATGAAGTGCAGAAAAATCTACAGCTTGAAGTTTGGGATAGAAGAAAATTAATTAATGTTTTCCATACAACATACTAGTGCCAACAAACACCAAAAAAAACAGGATGCTATTTCAGTACCATTGGAAAAACTGGTAAGTGTATGTTTAATATTCAAGCAGGATTTGCAGCCCCACATTTAAGAGGCAATGCTCTGTTATCCCAGCTTACAAAATTACTCTCATTGCTTTTATGACATCCTTGCTTTGGACACCCAAAGTTCTCTGCCACAATGTCCATGACACAAATATGTTACTGGAAAGACTGAAAGGTTCTCAAAAGATTTTTTTAAAAATAGCTAACAAATAACAGGTCTTAAAAATTATGGTCCTATTGACACCATTAATTATATAGGTTCAGTGCAAGCAGAGCCTCTTTTAAAGTATAAGCCTTTGCCCATCTGTTCCATAGATACACATGCATACAACAGGAAAAAAACTCCAACTTTATTACCCTTCAGCCTTCCATTACATTGGCTATTCTTTGCTATATTTCCTGCCAGTTATGTGGGAGCTCCTACAAACATGCAAATATAAAAATTAATGAACTTCAGAGTTTTCCCTCAATAAAAAATAAAACAACTCACAACCAAAAAAAAAGCCCAATCACCAAAAAAAAAAAAAAAAAAACAAAAAAAACCAAAAAAAACAACCCAAAGATGCATCTTAAAACACAGCCAGAAGGCTCTGGTTCTCCTGTGAAACTGGAAGGCCCATCAGCAGCTCCTAGAATCTGATCACCCAAAACCAAAAGAAAAATGGTATTTTGGGGATGAAACAGGAAAACACCACAACACTCAGACTGACTTAGTCCTATTCATGAGCCAGGAAATTAAGTGAATTATTGCAAATTAATTCATTTGTAAAAACTGAGAAAGTGAAACTCTTTTAAATATCAAGCTTTTGCCTTTCAAATGGTCCTAGATGGGGTCCCAAACTGGCCAGGTACTGTTCCAGGCACTGCTAATTAAACACAACTGAAGTTGTCACTAGTCCATTCAAGAAAACAGATGTCGCTTCATAGAGCTTTGATATTTTTCTTAAATACCTTTCAAAATGAGGAACAAAAAATATGAACTCTTATAAAAAGGGCTTTATTGTATTTTTATAGCATATTACATACCTTGTAACAATCATTCTGTTAAGTGTGAATGTCAGTTTTATTTTCTGTCCTTTTTTTCTTGGCTATTTACAAGCTTTGTAAGAATCGTTCCTTAATTAAGTCTAAACATAGTTTTATATAAATGGATTCCTGGAATTAAAAACGTTCAGACTTAAGAAATGATTGTTACAGAGACTGTAACAGGCCGTAAAAAAGAATGCCACTTTAAACAAAGATTTCTCATTTTAATTAAAAAGATAATCATCAGAACATTCGTATACTTAACAGAACCATTTGAAGCTACTTTGAAAAAAATATCTACTATTCTATGCAGGCTTATGTAGTTTACTTTCTATGACATTTAATCAAAGTCTCAGTTGAGCCTATCACACTCATACTTTCAATACTGTATCTACTGTTTCAAACACTTATTCAAACTTGGAAGTTACTTATTGAGCGCCTTGATATGGAAATCCCATATTCCTAAATGCATAAAAGCAGAGCTCTCTATGGCAGGGGGTTTTGGGTGGGACTTTTGTGTGCATTTTTTTGGTTAATGGGCACATTCCCCTCTCTATTTAGCTAGTGCATCAGTTTATTATACACTGTACTTTAAAAAGAGTGTACTTTCATCAGCAGGACTGTACAAAAGAAAAAAGAGGCTGAAGTGAACTAAGACAGGTTCCACTTTAGTAAAATCCTTGCTGCAGCTGCAGAACACTGGACTACTTAATTTTAAAGATTGTCTTTAAATCTATGAACCATCTTTCATTCAAAAGAAAAAAAACCACACCAACAAAACTTTTGAAAGATGATGTGCAGAACACGATACAAGACACTAATTCACCAGCAAAAACAGTCTTTCCTTGTGAGCAGTGGCTTAGTATTGTGTAGTGTTCATACACAGCAATTTAATATCAGGAATAAATTAGGTCTTATTAAGACATATAGGTAAATTGAGTAAGTAAATGAAATTAAATAAATTACTTAAATCTTAAAATGTTAGATTATACACATTGTACCTCAGCACAGATAACCAGAAAATGTAGCAGGTATCAGTTAAATGCAATACTGCTTCATTGGCAAGTAATCCAGCCAACACCAGCTACTGAGAAGGCAGCTGCCTTCTACTGCCATCAAAAAGTTGCACAGACATGAACATACAGAAGAACAACAGAGTACTGTTCGTCTTTCAAAGCATCAAATATGGATGCTTTAAAGCAGAATAATTTAATTCATAATATTAGCACTGGATGAAGCTTTCCCATGACATTTTTCTGTTAGACTTGGATATTAAAATGAAAATCAAATCACTAGGTCCATCTTGCTTGGTACCTTGTGATTCAAAAGAGCTGCTCAAAGTCAATGTCAAAAATTAAGTTTTCACATTTTTAAGTGGAAAAAAAAGTATTGTTTTCTAGAGAAGCATAAACAAACTACCACCTTGAGGGCTGCTTTTCAATATGAAATGAAACCTACCCCAAACACATATCAAAACCAAAACTGTCTCTCCTGCCTTTGACAATAGGCCTCATACCTCCAAAATGTATTTGAATCTTTACCTACAATGCTCTTAGGGAAGCTCTCGGGAAAATCAATAATTATTAGCAAAGCCCATCACAAGCCAAACTGTGAGCCACCTAATAAGGAAGATGCAAATGAAGCGTATCACACACTCTGATGGACAAGGTAATCCACAGTGAATGATTCAGCATTAGCTGAGAGGATGCACGAGCTGATCTGCTACCTCTGTGTGGATAACTGTACCAGTGCCACTGCTGCAGTGCCTGAGCACTGTCTGAGTGCTACATGGACCAGAAAAGACATTTCCAGGGAGGGCCAGGATGATACTTGCAATTGATTGCTCCTGTATGCTGATGTATCTATCTGTGCCACCCTTCCAGAACACCAGAAGACCCCACCAAGTCTGACAAACACTTCACTTCATCAGCAGAATTAAAGGAAGAGCCACATTCTAGACTGATGCACACTAAAGCAAAAGCCTGGGATGTGCTTAACAAAAGCTTTGCTTACTCTATTCTCAACCTGTAAGCAAAAAAAAACCCTAAAAAGTTCAGAATGGACAGAGAGAAGTCGTATCTTTCACTGTATGTTTTACAGGCATTTTGCAAACAAGAGGCACTTAAATAAAACATGAAAGAACGTGGGTTAGCTTTTAGCTCTCAGTGCAGCCTGGTCTTGATAATTCTTCCCTTTATCTGGTGCTCTTAACAGATGCATATCCCAGAAGAGCAGCTTCCTCTCTCAGGCATGCCTCTCCCCAGTGTCAGGGAGCTCTATTGTTGGAGTCCATCAATATCTGTTGTTGTCCATCTATATCAGCTATTGTTGGAGTCCATCATCATCCTGCCAGCTGCAGGATGGACAGGGATTCCCTCAGCCTCCAGACCCAACTTACATACAATCTCAAACCACCTGGACTAAACCCTTGAATGAAAATCTTAGCACAGGGGGCCAAAAAGCAATGTATGAGAAGTCAGCATAGCGTGCTCACAATGCTGTCTGGCAGCAGACAAGAATGTTTCAGCAGAAACTTTCTGGGATGTGAAACTCACTATCTAGAGGCAGGTTGTAATTACCAAGCTTGGCCAAACACAAGTGCAGCAGGATCTGGGACACTCCTTTGGCCAATCCCACACCAAAGATGGCCATTCATTACTTCTGATTGCTATCTTGCTGATTTAGGTGTCCATAGCATTCTTCCACTTCACCTAGCTGAGACTATAAATCTGGCAAACTTGGAGACTACTAGCAAACGGCTTAAAAAGTCTCAAGAGAGAAACAAGTTCTTCCAGATGAAAAGCCAAAAGTCAAACAAGTGTATTGAAGCTCAACTAGAAATTAAAATTTGCAGCTACTGTTTCCTCAATTTCATTTTGGGCATACGTTCTGACAATTTAATAGCATTCCTTCTTCCTGATAAGCTCAAGTTTAATTCCGTGCCACTAGAAGCACTAATCCAAAACAAACTTTTAGCAAGTGCTGCCAGTCATTTGAATTATATCCTTAGGGAAGAAGAATTTGGGGCGCCTAGAATTTACATTCAATTTAGTTGGCAACACTTTGTTTTCATTTCTAAATTTTACATTTCTGGCCAAAATGCTTAGAAATATCAACAAATGAAGAAAGAAAGAATGAAGCTACCGTTTAAGTGCACAATGCCTCAAATCTATGGAAATTAGTCATATTAGAAGAGCATCTTGGATGCATGTACTGTTTTCCATACCAAAGGCCAACTCAAAACCTAAACAATGTACATGCTCCCCGCAGTTCTATCAGTGATGTGCTGTTGCAGCAGCAGGTGAAACACTTAACTGCCAGGATTTAGAGATCTGGCAGGAGAATGGGAGGAAAAAAAAATTACAGAGAGATGGTGAGCAGTATAGCAGTATAGTCTAAGGTGCACAAATAAAGAAAAAAATCCAAGAGTTACATGCGCAAAGCCTGCCGGTGCCTGTGGGCCCCTCTGCCAGGTCCTGCCTCACTCCGGTTTAACTTCCCCCTCTCCCAGGTGGCACCTGCAGCCGCCTCCCCCCGCTCCCGAGGCTCCCCTTGCCGGGATCTGGGGACCCTGCTCGCTGCCCTCCCCGCGGCAGGCCGCCCCTCCCCGGGCCCGCTCACCGCCTTCCCCCGCCCGCCAGCCCCGAGGCCCGGCTCCCCTTCCCGCTGCCCCCCGCTCCACCTCGCCCCGCTCCCCCGCAGCCCCTCCACAGGCAGAGCTGCCCACCCTCCCCCGCCGCCTCCGCCGCCTCCGCCGCCTCCCGCGGCCGCTCACCATGAACTTGAGCGCCTTTTCCTGCAGGACGGCCTCGGCCGGGTCCATGGCGCTGCGGGGCCGGGCCGGGGCCGCCCCCCCGCTCAGTGCAGGCCGCAGCCAGCGCAGACGGGAACCTGCGCTGCCCCGCGCCCCCCAACTGCGCCCCGCTGCCGCACCGCGCATGCGCCGCTCCGCAGGCCCACGGGAAATGGAGTCCCCGGCCACGTCCCTGGCAAAGGGCCGACCTGCAGGGTAAAACTACAAATCCCGGCAGGTTCCGGGCCTGGGGGCACGCTGGGAGCCGGCTGGTGCATGCGTTGTGTGCAGCGCAGGGGCCGACGGGGGTTGTAGTAACGTGGGCCTAAGGGTGCGAGGTGCGGGCCAGGGTAGGATAGGCGCGGCCGCTCGGGGCGGGCGAGGGAGGGAGGTGAGGTCCTGCAGGTGCCGTGTGGGCAGTTTCCAGCTGCAGTCCTTCCCTGCGGCTGGAAGGTACGGCTGGCTCCCGAGTCACAGCCCCGCGCTCCCAAACGCGCCCCAGGAGGGCTCGGCTGCTCCCACGCTTTGCTCCCGCTGCGCTCCGTGCTGGCTGCCCGAGCCGATTGCTGCTGGCAAACCCAAACTGAGCCCCTGCACTGCGTGCAGAAATGTCTGGGGAAAAGTTACCAGGTCCGCAGGGGATGTGAAACTGGAATATTTGCATCCCTGGCATGCATCAAGGAGGCCTACAAAATTCTGGAGAGATGTTTGTTTGAAGCCATCCTGTACATAAAAAGCCTCCCGTGGTGCTTTGGTGCCCTTCTTCTAATAATGTTTCTAGATCAATTTTCCCTGAAAATTAGACCAAGTTTTCTTTGTTGTACTAAGCAGCAAATAGAAAAAAAGAATTTATCAGCATTCCTTGACTAGCAGCTGCATATAGACAGAATATTCACCATATCTCTTCTGTTTCTCTGTTGCACACCTACAACACCAGCTCACGTGGCAGCCATTGTTTCTAATCCTCTTCTTTATTAAATTTGTCTCATCTCTTTCCAGTTTTTCTACATTTTTTACAGTGCCCAAAAACTTAAGCTGCCTTGTATGGAGCAGCAGAGAGGAATTGCTTCTTGTGGTTTTAATACCGACTATAAGACCCTGATAAGTTTTTACTTCTCTATAGCAAACACAACACTGATTTCTAGCCAGTTTGTCATTAGTAAAACACTCTGGTTCTTTTCCTTGCTGCATTTATATATTTGGCTCTGCATTTTAAGTGAGATACTCTGAATTTCTTCCTATTTAAATGCAGAGAAGACAGCCACAAACATCAGCACTTGTGTGTCCATGTGCAGCTCAAACCCATTGTTTTCATTCCCTGTTTGACACAGCAACAAAAGTGAAGCTTCAGGCAGGTAGGAAACCTGTATCTCCTGAGTCCCAGTGCCTTCCCTCATTTTCTCTAAACACTCCATCTCCTCCAGATTTTCAGGCAGAATGATTAGAGAGAAAACAGAGGATGCAGAGAATGTGCCCATTACTGGATTCCTCCCAGGGCATGGGACTAAGGTGTTGCTTCATGATCCAGTGCCAGGAGAGTCTGCTGCAGCCTGTGACCCAGCAGAGGTGACAGGGAATGTCAGCCTTTGCAGGGTGTGATGCTGGCATGATCTATGCTCCCAGAGCAGTGGTCTAACAGAAGGAGGAAGAGATAACCTCATGTTCTCCCTCTACAATCCCAGGGCATTGAAATCTCCCAAATAAAGCTTCCATGTCACCAGGACAAGAGGCTGCCATTCTTGGACTGACCCAGCCATGCTCTTGGCCATCGTGCTTTAAGCCCAGACTCTGAGCAGTGAAATGCCTGAAATGCTTGGCTCTAGTGGGGCTGGGCACTTTCCAGACTGCTGACAGCACTGAAAACACTCACCACGATTATATAAATAACAGTAATTATAACGAGGGAATCCTATAATTACAAAGGGAGGGCTCCTGTAACAGCACTGAAGGCAAGCAGGGGCTGCTGGTGCTCGAGGCAGGGCTCTCCCATGTCTCCTTCCTCCAGGCATCCTGCAGCTGGCTTGGGCTGTAAATGGATCCTCCTGGTAGCAGTGTGGCAGGCTCAGGGCTTTGATTGCATGGTTTATTTGTCAATAATATCTGATGCCGGCCTAATTGTTGGAAAATTGGAAAGTGTAATGCTTCAGCATTAGACACCAGTGTCCCAAAGCCCTCCAGGCTGATTGATCTGTCTGGACTGTAACTTACAGGGGATTAATGTCCCTGAACTCTGCGGAGCCAGAACTAATGAGTATTTAGGTGCTGGACTTAAACTTGGTGGTAGAAGGTCATGGCTTGGTTACTCTGCCACACTGACATCAGGACCCCACAATGCAGAACCACTGCAGAGGGACAGGGCAGGAGCCTCAACCGCAGCACAGAGTGACTGAGGAAGGACTCCCAGAAACAGCACTTGGCCCAGCAGCGCTGAGCATGGAGTGACACCTTGTTGTGGGAACCTCACCTGGATCTCTGCATCGGCAGCCTGACCTTGTGGCCCCTTCCCACTGTGGGATGCTCCCTGCAGCTGAATGGCCAGCTCTGCACCCACCAGCTTGCTGAGTCCTCTGTGGCCAGAGGAGAGGATGGTCAGCACACCAAGCTGTGACACCATCAAGGTGTCACATCAGACAGCAGGCAGAGACCAATGGGAGAGGTCTGTGGTTCATAAAGCAGGGAGAAGGCACACTTCAACAGATTTACAACCAAACAATTATTTGTTTGGATTGCAGGAACTGGACATGTGTAGTCAGTGCTGTCTTTGCCACAGTAGAGCTGCCCTGACCAGCTCCTCTTTACTTTTCCTTGAAACAGCAACCATACCCCCCCACCCTGCCCTCCACCCCCTCGCTGCAGAGCACTGAAACGAGCCCATATAGTGCTCAGGGGCCTCACCATCCTTCCAGATGAAGGATGCTACCTAACAGTAAAGATATTACTGTGATTATTTTTGCAATAGCATATTGCTCTGTGCATTCCGGACTCTGCGGACCACATCCACTCCTGGTGTAACGCCATGTTAATTTGCTGTGGCAGTCATTAATTGGGTAAGGAACAGCTGGTGCTTTGCTTCAAGTGAAGCTGATTGGGTCAGTAAGTAAGTGGTTAAGAGATCTACAGCAGGTATAGCCGTACCTTTCTCTGCACTCCAGAGGGGTTTCACTTCTTGTCCCAGTGACCCATGGTGGAAGCAGCAAGATTTGGCCATAAAACATTAGGGAACTTTAATCAGTGCAATTCCTTTGGGCATTATTGCCTGAATTTTTAAATTTTGAATAATAAAGGATGATTTTAAATTAAATTTGTGGAGTCGCCATCTGTGTGGGCTTGGCCTTGTTTTCCTCTACTTTGGCAGTGCCTTGGCTTCATTCTTTCCAAGTTGGAGCAAAAAGGAAGAGAAGTGAAAAGAAGGGAGTTCACTGGTGGAAGAATCTTTTGTTGTTCCCTTTGTCCTGCAAGAACTTGGCAGCAGCAGTAGCAGCAGCTGCTACTGGGGCTGTGTTTCACAGCGCTGAACACAGAGGCAATCTCTGGTAGCACAAGAGCTTGTGAGAAGGTGACAGGGACCCCTGCAACCAGAAACATCCCAGTGGGTCAGCTCAGCCTCTCCAGCCTAGCTTATCCGTGACGGTGGCATGTCCCACTCAGGGCTCTGGCATCTCAGCTAAAGGCACTTGCTGTGCAGTGGCCTAGGGAAACTGAGGGCAGAATGCCTCCCTGTAGCCTGTGGACAAAGGGTCTCTTTTAGGACAAAGGGACACTCAGTCGTGCAAGAGGGAAGGGAGGGAGTCCAGGACCACACAGTATGAATTATGTTCTCTGAGCAGGACAGTACTCATTACCTGGTATAAGAAAACATGCAAAGCTGCACGTATGGAGGGGATGACCAGAGAGAAAGGCTTGTCTGCAGAGAAACCACAGTAGTGTAGGCTGTAGATTAACGTTTACAGGTTGAGCTGATTATATCTCTTGTGCTGCTGCAAAGGGGAGCTGCATCCTCTCTCCTGTCTCTGACAGCCACATGTTTCTTCTCACCTTCTGCTGGCTCCAAAACCTGTTTGCTAGCACAGTAAGCTGGTTTAGTTGACTATAGTGGCAGGAAAATTATACTCAGTAAATATTAACTAAACACTTTGCTCACAAGTCAAAGTGGCTTTTTCTTGTGACCACACAAATGGCAAAGCTGCCATAAGGGCAAGTGGACCAGGGCAGAGAAAGATGAGACTGGTCCCTCTTAGTTACTGGGAGCTGCTAATTCAGCAAATAGAAGGTGGAAAACTTCTTGTCTTCCCACCTGTCAGGATCTCTGAATCCTCCTGGGGGTTGGGAGCCCTCCCTGCACTAATATCATCATCACTGGCTCTGGATGGCCAAGGCAGAGTGTCTTGGAGAGAACAGATCCTGAAAGTCTGGAATACACACAGGGATCCTGAGCAGATTAAACATGAGCTCACTTCCCATGCTGCCATAGTGGCTGCATGGTGCTGCTCCCCCACCAGATTCACTGGGCCACTGGGAAGCAAAAGATGCTGAAGCCCTGGTCCCAGTCTTTTCCATAGACTCTGTAGGTGCTTTGTTTAAAAATATGGATTAAAATAAATTAGGGTGACAACATTCTTGCACAGGTGCTATACCAACTGTTCAGCAGCCTTCCCAGTCTCTGAGGTCTTGCCAGAGGCCACGGTGAGGAGCACCAGGCTATGGCACATACAGAAACATGCACCCCACCTCCCAGCCTGCCAGGTGCCTCCAGCACAGATCTGGAAGTGCCTCTTTACCCTTAAAACAGCTCCTTCCCTCTCTGAGACCTTGCTACCTCCCCTGGGATGTGTCCTTTGGTGTTTGCAGCACCTTCCATCAGCCTGTCCTTGACACAGCAGCAATGACAAATTCATCAGTCCTTCAGCAAACACAAGTCCAGAGGAGCATTGCTGTGAGCTCAGTGCTGCTGCCTGAAGGGTGGCAAAGGGGAAAGAAAGATTTCTTCTTACAAGGGCAAAAAACAAACCCAAACCACCAAACCTGACCCGACAGAACAAAAACAACCCCAACAAGTACCTTGTAGTCAGAACAGCCTTTTAAAGCCTCATGAATATTTAGTTTGTCCTCATGTAAAATATATGACTTTGTGTAAGGATCAGGCAAAGGAGGTGCATGATTTT